TCCGTGTAAAACCACTATAGTATAGCATTCGTTCCGTTGTAGTTGTTTTCCCAGCATCAATATGCGCTATTATCCCAATGTTTCTTGTTCTATTGAGATCTTCCACATTCCCACCGGGCACTGCTGTCGAGTATCTCCTCGGCAGGGATGCTCGAGATAGCCATTTTGATGCACCAACTCGACAGGTCGGCAGCAAGAACCGCCTTGAGAAGGTTGTTCCTAGCGGTAACACAGCTATAGTCATACCCAATGGCTCACGGCGTTGACGCCGGCTTCCAGTCCATGTATAGGGTCGAAGGTAACAAGTCTTGAAAGCAAGTCAGGTTAGTTACCCGTAACTAACTACCGCGTCAATTGAGGTCGAAATCCTCCCTGGCTATATCATAATATCACCGGATAAATAGAACAGCACTTAATCCTTCAATATCAATGCATCCATATTGTATTCTTTAAGTGACGATATTTTGCAGTTCGCGATGATTGATAGCCATCTGACTAGGGCGGCGAACCTGGACCAACCACGCACTTTTCTCCAACGCCGCGAACTGCATAACTAGTTAGTTAACCAACCAACTGAACATCCAGCTCCAGATCAACTTCTGACCTGCGGTTTGATCCCAAGTCTCTGCAGAAAAAAGGGCAAACGAGGCTTTCGCCGTATACACTCTCATCCGAAAGTGCAAAGACTTGTTCTTCGACAGCGTGACTGCCTGATTCCCTGGCCCCGAGTCGTTCGCGACACTTATCCAACGCCCACTACTCCACCTTGAACAGTCCAGCAACTGCCAGCATGGACTACTCCTCGATAACTAACGATCCTGATCCTACCGACTCGTCACCATGGGGTTCTACCTCTCCACGAGCTGCACGGCCATTTTCTGCCAGCAGTGACGTCCCTCCAGCGTTCCCCTCGCAGCATCAATCGCCCTATACCACCGACCAAGAAGGACCATACCAGCACAACGACGAAGGCGGCGAGAGAGTTCACTCTCCCGGTGTATCGGATCATCCTGCGGATTCTCATCCTGTAGGTTCTCCAGAGGCACAAGCAGCATACCGGCATGACAGCCAACATCAGCAGGAGTACAGGCAGCAACAGCAACGATCGCAGGCTCCATCGAGATATCAAACCGGAGCTCGACAGCAGGCTAGGCCAAATGCACCTAAGTATAAACTACAGGCTAAGGTTACGGCACTGGAACGCACAGGGAAGAGAGACCCTGTAATTCGATTTGATGTTCACGTATGTTACCCTCCGAGCGGTAGCTTGATTATCGTGAAGTTGCCATGACTGACCACTCCATCTTTAATAGACGAATATCCCTAAGTTCCGAACTACACAGTTCCGAGATGTCCGGAGAACTCACTCTGAATTTATCAAGCTTGGAGATCACCTAATATCGTCTAATCCAGAGGCGTTGGTGCCTGCTGTCCCCCCTCCGCTTACTCCCGCTGGCGCTGGTACCGAAGAAGACGAGGTACGCGTTAAGGCTTCGATGCAACGATGGCTCAACTATGTATGCAGCAATGATGTTTTAATGGTCGATGACGAAATGATTCTTTTCGTCGAGAGCGATTCTGGGTACAGCCCCGTTGTCCGGATGAAGCAGCCTGCCACCGGCGTACGACGGAAGGTTCTAAAGCAATTTGCACCACCTCCTGATGATACACCAGAGCTGCACGATGCACGTCCAGTGGTAAAGCTGTTCTACCTTGGGACCATGGAGGCTGGTCAGAAGGTAGACCGGGTAGTAAAGGCTAGAAGAGGTACGGAACTTCGAGATGAAAATCACCAATTATTTATACAACGCTAACCACTATGAGAATAGCACTTGCTCTTGCGGAGTCTGACCTTGGAGTCAAACTTGGACAAATGCATGTTCAAGAGACCCATGCTGGGCTTGCCAATGCCTACAAGAAGCTCGGCAAAATTATTCAAACCACCGGAGACTACCATGCTGCTCAGGGAACCGCTGAAGCCACCACTCTAGGCGATCCTCTGAACTACCACTCGTCGGACGCTTTCATTGTGAAGGAAACTCTAACGAATCGACATATCCTCCTTCGTGAATTGATTCAAGCTCAGCAAACGGCTAGCAGTAAGCGAGCCGCAGCAGACCGCTTGAAAGCCAGCACCTCCGTACGCCCTGATAAGGTGGACGAAGCCATAAGCGCCCTAGACGATGCTCGAGGCCACGAGGAATACTTATTAAAGAAAACCCAGCGGGTTACTAACAACCTCCTACAGGAGAAGCGCCGCTGGTTCAATCGGACCGCAAACGATCTACTACTCAGTCTCCGCGAATATACTCTCCGAGAGATCGAGGCTGAACGCAGAACCTTGAGCACGCTAGAGAGTGTTCGTGCAGATATCCGCTCCATTGATTCTTCCGGAGGTTTGAGTCGTTTAGGCCGTGAGTCCCACCCAGCTGCTAGACGAGCAAGCCTGGCTTCTAGCCAGGGCCCGAAGGGAGATGCATGGAGCGGTGTCGCTCGTCGTGGGGACAGTCTAAGCAGGAGTATCAGCGGAAGTTTCGTGGCTCCGGTGCCAGAGGTTGATGATGACGTAAATGGAACTATCCACGGAACAGGCAGAAGATCCCGCAGCGGAACCATCATGGAGGAAGACGACGACCGGGTCGATGCTAAAAATGCTGCCAGTCGACTGGCTGCCAGTACGTTTTAGATAACGGCTTAAAAAAAACACTGCTTGTCTATAGGTCCCGACATAGCTACTATGTGCTATTATTGTACTAGCTGGCGCAAATAGTTTAATTGCAAGTTTTTTATACATCTTCTGCGGATGTGATGAGTGATGAATCCGGCTGCTATTTTGAGCATCGTATTATGGGACATATTTCCAAACAGCTCCAACCACGCATCGACCAATCCAAAGGCAACGACGTCCCACCAAAAATAGTTTCTCAGGAAGCATTTCCAGCTGCAGGCTCCTCATCATCTTCTGTATACCTCTTCAGCCCGTCATTCGGAACGTCAAACCACACAGCCTTTTCTCCTAGGAAGATATGATCGGTGGGCTTCATGAGCTCCCCCTTAACACTCCAGTCGTCGAAGGAGCCAGGGCTTATGGAGACACTCTCCGGTCTCTCGTCCAGCTCGTATGTCAAAGTCGAGCCACAATCGCCACAGAAACCCCTCTTAGCAAAGTTCGAGGACCGGAAATATTTAGGAGGCTCGTTCAGCCATGTTATCGAGCTCCGAGGAAATCTGGCGAAAGTTGCATAGGGAGCCCCGGATATCTTGCGGCAGGTGATGCAGAAGCAATTGGACATGTATTTTGGCAGTGCAGTCGAAGTGTAGCGTATCTTTTTGCAGCAACAGCCGCCCTGCAGTACTATGGGTGAAGATGCCATTGTATTTTATTTTATTTTATTTTATTATCCCAGACTGAGTATGACCTTGATTCCTAACTCCTGCTTTTCACGGAATGACCGGGGTAATAGTTATTCATGCCAATTTATCAAGTCTTTAGTTTGGTGGGATTTTAAGTCAACTACTCCGTACAGAGTCTGCAGTTGATTGTTGAGAATACGAGATCCCGCCTGGATTTTCTAACAAACTGACTCCAGGATTAATAATACACCTGTTTCTTGAGCCCTTGTTCGCTAGTTATCCATTAGTTACCTGTTTTCCTGGCATTGGCGCTTCTATATAGCTGAAGCTGAGTGTCACTGCTATACATCGAGAAATATATGACTTCACCTGGGATAATATTAATCGAGTGTACTCCGTACACCTAGTGATAATACCTATTAGTTACTCTCCCCTGAGACACACATAATTAGTCAGTGCCTGTGACGCGCGTCTTGGCCCCCAAATCTCGAGCAGACTTGGTCCCCAGTCCACGTAGTTAGTTAGTTGGTTACTCCGGACGCGCATTATTGTTACCTTCTGACCGAAAAGGGCTTTATACATGATGCTCTCCGGGCCTAAGTAGGCAGTTCTGCCGGCCGTTGGGAGCCCTGGCTACAACTGCTCCTTGATAGACATGAAATGCAGGGTCTCGAGTGGCAGCCTGCGATGTCTATCCGTTCAGCCCCGCTGATAGTTAGTTAAGTGGAGAGGATGCCAAGAGAACTGAGGCTCCAGCTGCTTAGCTATCTCCGCGAAGAAGGTTCAACGACAAACCCTGTAGCCGCCGGAATTCTCAATCTTAGATGGGGGCATTGAAATATCTCGCCCATAACAATGCATTAGAAAAATCTTATGGAGTATCCAAATACTCCTTATTGAAGCCAGTTGGTACGTCAGCTAGCTAATTATTCGACAAACCAACTACTGTTAGTTATTACATGGGATATAGATGGACGATGTAGCTATTCAGGAGCTTTAGGCAGCTGTCTCATGTATAGGTTAGCTGCCTGTCGGTTACTTAGTTAGTAGCTGGTGTTTCCGAATCCTCACAAGGATCTTGCATAACTGTTGGATATTATTGCTTTTTACATGACAGCGGCTATATGCATCAAATAACCGTGACTCACCTAACTAGAGAACAGGGAAGGATTTCACCTGGAATACTGTTGTGAGGTGGCTAGATATTATTGGGTAGAGTAAGTAGCGAGTTGGACCATTTTTACCAGGTAGATACATGGTTTGAGCTAACGAACATATAAAAGTGGTTAGCAGTGGCCTGTTTGCACAGGGGTTGTATTAGGGAGTGTCTGGGCTGACATATTGCTGCTTAAATTGGTTGGCTATCGATAGACAGAAAAGAAGCGTAAGGGGTGTTGGGTACCTATGCACCGAGAAGTTTCACTTAACGCCTTTCATACATGTTGGATGCTGAGAAGGCCTAGCTGTATGCCTCCGCCGCAAGAACCCCTGCTAGTGACTAAGCGTTGCTGGACATAGTTAACTATATAAGTCACCTCAACCACCCACAATGCTCCTGCCTGATATCCGAGCACAACAAACAACTACTATCAATCCACACTTTTCCAATATCAGTCCCTATTTTGCAGAATTCCTGTATTGCAATAATGACTCCACGACCACTATACCTCGTGACTTTCCGTACAGGTCCATCCCAGCGAAAACATTTCGCTATATTCCTCCCTAACGAAGGTGATTCCCAACAAGGGACGGTCATCCATGTTGTCGGTGCCCCAATGGCCGGATACCAACACGAGTTCAAGCGGAATTACAACCCTTTCACCAGTGCAATCTTTCATACTGTCACAGAGATTGCACAAATTGACGATTGTCATATTGCCAACCCCCAAACCAAGGATTTTCAAAAGGACAGTACACCAAAAGGTGATCTCGAGATCGCGGCTTCTCAGGTCCGCCCACCTCCAATCAGTCAGAACTTCTTAGCTCCAGTCGATGGCGTACGTATATACCTGTTACATTGTAACTACTCTAGCTAACAAGTAACATAGGTGACCAACAAGCGATGCCAAGAGTGGACTGTGGAGTTCGTTGACAAGCTCATCGAGAAAAACTACATTCATGCTCAAGCTCGAGAGATCGTGCAGGCTCACCGTGATCCCCCAAGTCACGGTGTTGGCCTACAGCCTGCTGGCCGAGGACGCGGAGCCGCATGATAGCTCGCAGAGGGAGTGGTAACGGTGACGGGTGACCAAGGTGCGCTGGGCAGAGGACTGGGTGTGGGCATTTGTAGTTGCAGATATTGGGCGTGGCCACCAGACTATACAGTATACGGAGGACTAAATGGATCATCGGGTCAAATTCGTTTTTACCTTGTAAGAGATAGTTCCAGGTAGCCAATAATAATAGAGGTATTTTAAATCGTCCCTTTTATGGATAAATACTTCACATACCTTACCTAAGTACCCTTTTTCTTAAGGGTACAGCCTTCCTTCTTCTTTGGCCCACGGCCTAGGTTCTCTCCCTAAGACTTCTCCCCCCTAAGTTAGCTCTCTCTTAAATCTGCCTCTCTAAGTATACTCTCTCTAGTAGAAGTAAGAGTCTTAAGTAAGAGAAGCCTCTAGTAAGAGAGGCTTAGAGAAGAGGCCGAGAGAGCAGACTTAGAAGAAAGTAGACTTAAGGGGAGAGTAGGTATAGTGGGAAGGCTTAGGGGGATAGGCTTAAGAGAGAAGAGGCTAGGGGGGCTAGCTTAGGGGAGGGAGCTAGCTTAGAAGGGAAAAGTCTTAGGGGGGGAGAAGGCTTAGGGAGAGAACCTAGGCCGTAGGCCAAAGAAGAAGGAAGGCTGTACTCTTAAGAAAAAGGGTACTTAGGTAAGTAAGATAAAATACAAGGATAGTACTCCTAGTACTCCATACTTTAGAGTGTATTTTCCTATATTCTATGGTTAAAAAATTAACTATCCACATTTAAACCACCAGGCTGCTATAAATGGGTTCCGCTGTTTTGATAAATTATAACACATAATCGTCGCTTGTAGAGTAAGGTATTTAATTGGTCTCTACATGGCCCCCATGAAATGGATATATTCACCAAAAATATCAAACTCATCATGGTAGGGAGTTAAAAATTTTGATATCCATTTTTTTCTCCACTCTCCATTGTAGTCAGAGGTATAGCAGGCTTTACACCACTCCCAATACTCTGGATACCAGCCAGACTGTTCCCAATCTATAAGTGCAAGGACCTTGGGAGAACTGTCTCGGGATATAATAACGTTGCGAGCATGTACATCCGCATGTGTAAACTTTATGGCCGCGTTGTCAGGTAAGTATGGCCGGTAGGGATCAACATAATCACTAGGGACCGAGAGTCCAATAAGTGGTAAAGAGGCTATCCAGTCATGAAACTGTTCAGCAGTTTCGAATGGTCCTCCAAGTGGACGAGTTAAAAAGATATAATCACGAACATTTCGTCGATTAATGGACCCTAAATACCGTGTTCATGATGAGTATAGATAAATGATTGATTAAAGGCGAAACTCACCAATAAATGGGCCACAAGTATCATCGTACTGCAGTTCCCGCAGGGATGTGATCATTCCACGGAGATCACGGCAGATAGATAGTCTATTCTCCTCCGACAGGTTATCCCACCTGTCAGCTAGGGTATCTCCACGGATTAGCTGCATGTAGATAAAGACGACCGTGTTTTGAACCCGCCAGCCAAAAACCTCCGGAACCGGTACTTTATCGCCAAACAGCTTTCGAACTGCCCACATACATTGAGCTTCAGCAACTGTAACGCGTCGACCGAATTTCACCAGCAAGCCAAGACGTTCAAAAATAACAGGAGGTGGGCTATAAAATGTCTTGTCAGGGTAATTTGACATGGCCATAACTTCATCTGTTGTGGGGAGGTTCTCGTTCATTTTAAAGAAGGATGATCCACGAAAGTCCACTGTGTTCATCTCATCGCTGGGCAGCTGAGAAAGCAGAAGTTTCGGTTTGATTCGAGTTTCTGTCCGTTTTGTGTCCAAAGTGCTCAGATTAGAATCCTCTATTCGTGATGGAGCCATTGTTTCCAGACACAGAGGACGTTGCTTATAGCTTCAGGCTATGCAAAGGCGTGTTCCAATTTATTCCCTCTAGCTAACTACTTGAGGCTCGGTGCACGAAACGGTACCTGATGGAAACCGGGCAGAAGGAAGGACAATGGGCGTGCAAAAAGCCACTGGATATGGTTGACTATGGCTGGAACACCCTCCAAGAACAACCCTAGTCAACTCAAGATTCTCAATATGATAGCTTTCTTTGCCAAAGAATTTCCCTTATTGTCATTATTGTGTTGTTGTGTTGTTTGCTGTGTTGTTAGTGTTTCTTTGACATTTGACGTTCAACGAAGGCTTTTTATAGCACGCGGCCTAGTTCTATCACGTGATGTGTAACTGGGACCGAAACTAACTAGGCGGCTTTGAAGCTTCAACTATCAAACTTGAACGAAAAAGAGGAAAAGGCGAAGTGAGGAAGCAAACGCCGCGACAGCCAGCTCCGGAGGGTTCCTTACGACGGCGAAGAGCCCTTTTCCTAGCTTGTATACCCCCGTGGATGACCGTAAGAAGGTATGAAAGTATCATGGACATTCCACTCGACTACCGTACAGATAGCTAACGTGGATACCGTTGCTTCAGTTCTCAGGCAAAGACTTCTCCGCCCCTACTGGCTCGACAGGCGCAGAGCGCAGGAAGCCCATCATGGCTCCTGTTGCAGGCAACAAGCGGAAGAGAGGCGATAGAAGTTGGTCTGGCGACTCGTCGAACGATAGCCCTAGGCCTTCTCCGCATCGCCCAAGTAACCTGAATCTGGCGCAGCAGCAACAACAGCAGCAAGGCAGAGATGGCCAGGAGGGCCGTGGAAGAGGTGGCCGGAGGTCTAGTCGTGGAGGCCGAAATACAAGGAGAGGTAGCGATAGCGCACATGTTCAGCACCAGCCGCAGCAGCACCAGCACCAGCAGCAACACCATCAGTTGCGTGAAAGTCCTGTCTCTGCGAAACCTGTCCCCGCACCAAATAGCAGCGAATCTGAACCGGCCAAACCCAATGGTGTCTCAGCCATCCAACCTTCTACAGTTCCAGCAGAACTACCGCAACAGGCCATTGTTACAAAGACCTCCTCCTACTGCTACGAATATGTTTCGCCCGAGAGTATGGCAAACTGGGCTGGAATTGGACAGCCAGCCATCATAGAAATCGGCACGAAAGCTCGAACGGAGGGTGATTCTCTTACTCTGTCGTCAGTATTCCAAGAGCTTGTGCAGTTAGCTCTCGAGGGCCGTGTGCCTCCTCAAGATCTTGGGAGCACGGTACGGGCGATTATCGGAAATACCGAGACTACCGACTCAGCTCTTGATCCACGCACAATATTCCTCGACACACTCTCCATTCTGACCGAAAGTGAGCCTTCTAACCCTAACCTCCGCCCTTTTCTATTCTCAACTGGTATCCCCTCCGAGACAATGCGACTTCAGTTGGAAACTCCACTTCTTCAATCCCTCGGCTTGATTCGTGATACTTTTGCCCGCATGGGAATCAGAAAACAGACCAACCTCTTATATCGACAGTCAAACTATAACCTATTACGAGAAGAGTCTGAAGGATACTCGAAGCTCTTAACGGAGCTCTTTACCACGAGCAACAATGAGCCTCCTTCCAGCGAGGTGGTCGAAGATACTTTCGAACGGGTAAAGGCAATGATAGGTGCTTTTGACATGGACGTTGGAAGGGCTCTTGATGTCACTCTGGACGTATTCGCTGCTGTTCTAGTCAAACAATATCGGTTCTGTGTCAAATTCCTAAGGGCAAGCTCATGGTGGCCAAAGGAAGATGGTATAGGTGGACATAATTCAATGTCTGGCTTACCCCGATGGGCATTGCCTGGGTCTCCTGGGTGGTCAACTACTGATGAGGAAAGAGCCGAGATGCTGCGACTAAATGAAACCCGAGATCAAGAATTTTGGGATAGGGTAAGGGAGATCGGCATACGCGCCTTTTTCGAGCTCGGCCGGCAACCCATTTCGGAGGAAGAACAGCGCAAGTGCATATCTGCGGCTGAAGGAGACACCGTTAATGATAGCGGCGAAACAAAAAAGTGGATTGAACAAACAGGCACGCTTCCACCCAGAGGAAATCGAGTGGCGGCGCAACTTCTCGGCTTTAAACTCCGATATTACTCTTCTGATGCACGGAACCCATCTGATGTTCTTCCCGACAACTTAATATACCTTGCAGCACTTCTAATTAAAGTTGGGTTTATCTCCCTGCGCGACCTATACCCCCATCTTTGGCGCCCAGATGAATCCATGGACGCTTTGAAGGAAGAAAAGATGAAGGAAAAGGCGGAAAGGGAGGCGGCGTCTCGTCATGGCGGAGCCGTCAATGCCTTAATGACCGCCGGTGCTCTGATTGATGACACTGTGCCCCCTCCTCCCCGGATCAGAGAACCCGATGCCAGATCTGCCACTCCATCCCGAGACCAGGATCATGACCAGGATAAATCCGCGGCTCCCAAGGTTGAGGACAAAGAACAGTTACCTGAACCAGCTGATCAGAAGGTTCTTCTCCTGAAAAGTTTACTCGCTATTGGTGCTCTTCCAGAGTCATTATACATACTAGGGAAGTTTCCGTGGTTGCTTGATGCCTACCCTGAACTTCTTGAGTTCATCCACCGCATTATTCACCACTGTTTAAACAAGGTGTATAACAATGTTCGACCATTAGCTGAACAAGATGAACTGAAGGCCCGCAAAAAGATTGTCAGCACTGATCAATCTACTACGCTATCAGGAAAAGTTCGACTTGGAGATCAACCCCCTCGGCGTATCCTCCGTTGGGCACAGTTAGACAAAGAAGATACTAATGATGGCACCGATTACCGATTCTACTGGGATGATTGGGCTGATAATATCCCAATTTGCCAGTCTGTTGACGACGTTATCGCTCTCTGTGGATCGTTTTTGAACCTATCCGGGGTAAAGATTGGAAACGATCCCAGCTTACTCACAAAATTGGCTCGCATCGGTAACCACAGCATGAAGAATGATCCATCTGAATCTAATATTTCACGCTGGAGAGACCTCTGCAAACGCCTTCTTGTCCCAGCTCTCAGTTTAACCAAAGTTAACCCTGGAGTGGTTAATGAAATATTCGAGCTACTGCAAAATTTCCCTCAAGATGTCCGATTTTCGATATATGCGGAATGGAATATTGGACAAACATCCAGATCACCAGATATAAAATCGGCGTTTGACCTAGCCCGCGCCCAAACGAAGGACTCCTTGAAACGCTTAAGCAAGACAAATCTACGGCCAATGGCTAGGACACTGGCTAAAATTGCATATGCCAACCCTGGAGTAGTGATCAATGTTGCCATCAGTCAAATCGAGTCCTACGAGAATTTGATTGAAGTTATAGTCGAATGCGCACGTTATTTCACATTCCTCGGGTACGATGTTTTAACCTGGGCATTGGTCAATTCCTTAGGGCAAAAGGGAAGAAGCAGAATGCAGGCCAGTGGACTGTTAGCTAGCCGCTGGCTTAATTCCCTGGCAACCTTCGCTGGCAGAGTCTTCAAACGATACTCCAGCATTATGAACCCTATTCCCGTCCTACAGTATGTCAGTGACCAGTTGCGCCAGAATAATTCCACCGACCTCCTTGTCCTTGAACAGCTTATTAGTTCAATGGGTGGCATTGTTACTGATAACAGCTTTAACGATGCTCAGCTCCAAGCTATGGCTGGAGGAAATGTCTTACAATCCCAAACAATGCTGCAGCTACTGGATAAACGACATGAGTCCAAGACAACTTCAAAGCGGCTCATGAAATCGTTATCTGATTCCAATTTGGCCGGATTGCTTCTTGTGGCAATGGCACAGGAAAGAGTAACCTGTATCTTCAAGGAGTCCGAATCCGATGCGGAATTGAAGCTACTCGGTAACATATTCGATGAGACTCATCGTGTGCTGACACAATATCTGGATCTCCTCCGATCCAACTTTACCGTCGATGAATTCAACTCTTATGTACCGGACGTTGTGGCTCTGATTAGTGAATTTGGAATACAGCCCGAAGTGGCATTCTGGATATCACGTCCAAGCATTGCTCAGCGTATCGCCGATGCAAGCAAACAGATCCAGGAAGTGATGGCGAAGAAATCGGAGGTAGAGGCTCCAGCTCCTGAAACAAGCCTTAACGACGACGTTGAAATGGGCGAAGATAAAGAGGCTTGTGAGCCAGTGGCAGAGCAAGGAGATGCAATGGCTGTGGATAACCAAGCGTCGTTTGACGAGGGTAAAGCTCTGCCGGGATCTACCTCGCCAGATCCTATCAACTCAGAGAAAGCCTCCAGCCCAGTTTCGCCTTTCAACCCAGTTGTTCAAGAACTGATGGATCAAATGAAATCATCTGTTCCTGAATCGTTCTGGGACGTTGTTGGCTTACCATTTTATATTACATTCTGGCAGCTCTCTCTGTACGACATCTATGTGCCCCAAAAGTCTTATGAGGACGAAACGGAACGCCTAAAGAAACGAGTTATCGCTATTTCACACGACAGGTCGGACATGAGCTCGGCTGGCGTTCAGCGCAAGGAGAGAGAGAAGAGGCAAATTAATGAACTTCATGACCAAATATTGGACGAGAACAAGCGTCATATCCGAGCCTACGGACAAACTCGTGCGAGGTTACAGAAGGAAAAGGGCCAATGGTTTGTTGGAATGCGCGTTAAACACGAAGCTTTGAATATTGCTCTCATGCAGCAATGTTTCCTTCCCCGTACCTTACTCTCTCCTATTGATGCTCTTTACAGTTTCAAAATGCTCAAATATCTTCACTCGTCCGGCACTCCTAATTTCCGAACAGTGGGCCTATTGGATCAGCTCTTCAGGGATCAACGATTGACTAGCATTATATTCCGGTGTACAGCAAAGGAAGCGGACAATTTTGGACGCTTCCTTCTCGAAATTTTACGTGATCTCAGCAGATGGCATGCAGACAAAGCTGTGTACGAAAAAGAGGCCTT